ATAACTTTGTGTTGTTAGGTAATGTTGCCTAATAAATTAGATATAAATTCATCGTATATTAGATATAAATTTATTTTAAAATTAGATATGGATTGCTATATTTTTAGGTATGAGTTTATATTTATCCCATTCTATTATCCTTATAAAATTTTGCGTCATGAATGACAGTTGCTCATGTGAATGAAATAAAAAAATCTTCTACGAGTTTTATTTTTCAGAGCACAGTTTAGATAAAATTCTGTCACTAAAACAGTTACATAAGGAGGACCACGAAAATTTTGAAAATATTTTCTCGCATAAAATCTAACAATAATCATGCTGATGGATAGGACTTTGAACACTGATTATCGCTATACGATCTAAGCTTATTCTCAATGTTAAAGTAGTATTATATGAAGCGTTCTCCTAGTGAAGTATTTGGAAATCCGTGACTAAGGGTATCAGTTTTGGGTTCCGTTCCTAGGAATGCGAACCTTTTGACAATAAAATTCTGCGTGTTTTTGAATTTGCTGGCGTGATTAGACATTTTTTCCTTCATTCAAGGCAAGTCACTATGGGTCCCCTGTTTTCTGAGAATTGGAACCCAGTCCAGGTTCTTAAGAATGAGGATCTCTATTCCAAACAGCTCAGAACATAAATGAAGATGGGGTGTCCGGTTCTTAGAAACCCAACAATCCATAGTGAGCTGTCTTAACATGAAAGAAAAAATATATCTAAACACTCCATGGTGTTCAAAAACGCGCAGACATGAATTGTCTAGTGGATCCCCGTACATAAGAACCGAGGAGCCTCTAGTGACTTTCCTCATAAGGAAAGTAAGATATGTCTAAAAATCGCCCTACAGTCTGTGACAAATAAATGACTTCGAAGGATCAACCCTTTACCGCTAAACTACAAGGCATAATGAACTTCCATCACATAGTTGTAATCAGTGTGCAAAGTCCGATCGATCGGGACGATTATTGTTCAATTTCATTTCAATGCGTGGTATGACTTGAGCAGGGTTGGTTGTCTCTGTCGTGTAAGGGTCCTAGGGGAAAGTATCTTAGGTAGTTTTCATTGAGACTATTCACCTGGTCACTGACTGTGTAAGCCTCATATTGTGTCGAGGATAAACATTTTTATGGAATATATTTTTACTACTACTTCGTAGAGAATCAAAACTTGCATAACATATAACAAAATTCAGTCTGGTCCCGCTTCATTTAATAAAATGGCAGCAGGTACACCTAAAAATCGATCGTTACATATGCATAAATTGTGACAGTTTCCACTGATGTTAGACTAAGCAACCCAACTAAATAAATGATATGCAATATTTTAAATAGTTCTTTTTTTCAGCTGCTGATGCTCTATCTTTTGGTATATTGTATGAAAAAGTTCTCCCATTTGTTTTTACAATGGTCTTTTTAATTTCTATCTGAATTTCAAAGAAAAAAAAGGCACCCAGTTTCAAATTGAAATGCGCGTATTGCGGGTCGTTCAAATCTACGCGATATTCCACATACCCTACACCGTTCATTCCAAACCAGTAGGATATAAAGCCTGTAGTGTGCGCAATGCCAACACAGGATTGATGAATAGGATATATATAATGATATAATTCTAAAGACATGGAATGCGCATAATGTGTGCTCGTCAGAAAAAGACGGTTAAATTGATCCTCAGTATTCTCATGGATGCTCTCTTAAATGCTAATCTACGTATTTCAGCTATCATATTAACTCTAAATACAGCGTTCCGACAATCGATACTTATGTCATCGGTTCCTATAACGAAATTAGTTGTATCTATGAAAAATGATTGTTAGAAGTTGGAAAAAATAATTTGAGAGTGAGGGTGAGACTGTGAGGACGTTTTTGTCCTCACCCTCATCCTCATCCTCAAAATTAGTCCGTTTTTTTTCAAATTATTACAATTATTCATTTAAGAAAACCACAATCCATGGCAACAAACTCGTCGTTTTCTCAAAAAGTACTCAAGTGCCGTGGCCGTGCTTGTGCCAAATGTGGTTACTGCCGCGATTGGTACTGGAGTCCTCAGGGTAAGACGAAGAGTTATACAAAGCGTCTTGATGCCAACTGCACGGCTAGTTATTGTTATGGTCGTTCTGGTTATGGCCCTGGTTGTGGTGGCTGTTGTCTTTGTATTCTTGCTCGTTTTTGGTGTGTTAATTGTTGTGTTCATCAATATTATGGTGGTGATGGTTATGGCCATGGTGCTGGTCTTCCTCTGGATGGTTATCTTACTGGTGGTATTAATCATCACATTGAAAAGCTTGCTGGTGTTGATTTTGATGCACGTCATAATCGTAATGTTAATGCTGGAGTTGCTGATATTTTTCTTGGCGGTGCTGCTAGTTTTGCTTCTGGTATTGCTGATTTGAGTGATGGTACTTTAAAGGCTCGTATTGCTCTTGCTCGTACTCATCATGATGATGGTCGTTTGTGTGAGTGCAATGAGAACCAGCAGTAACTGTTCTTCAGTTGTGCTAAACATTTTTTTTTGTAGTTTTCAATATTAGTGGCAGAAATACACAATTTTAAGGGAAAGATTATAGTCCTTTTGTTCGATGTGGATAAAGAATCTCTGAACTTTGGTCGACAGTAAAAATGTCGACGGTAAAAATGTCGACAAAAAATGTCGAAAACTGAGTAGGGATTCATGAAAAATGTCGTGTTCAGAAAAAACAAAACCAAGTAGTTTTATTCAAGTTAAATGTTTTGTATATTAAAAAATAAAACCGAACGGCAAGCAAAATACTTTGAAACATTATTTTATCGATGTTAAAGAATGTTCTTATTGAATAATCATAGTTTTGTTTTTGCTACAACCAATGACAAGCCGTTGAGAAGATCAGATGCTGTAATCGATTAGTTATTATATCGACTATACAGCGTGTTTATTCGATTTTGTAATGCTGTTGTTCTTTTGGTTTTCTTCTTTGATGCACCGGAAGACCATTGAAGTACAATATTCTGTACATTTTTTTCCTCTCCTTTCATAAAATCGATTAAATGCCATATATTTGGATGATTTCGATAAATACGCGAATTCATTCTATTGTGATAGCCTGCAATTAAAAAGAGCAAATTGATCCTTTTACTTCATCAAACAGATATCGTCACCTTCACAAATGTTGTTTGTCCGACTATCAAAGCCATATACATTCCACAAATCAATATCCAACATACAGTTCTTGTCAAAATATTCTAATAATCGAATCATTGGTAAACCAGGTAAAAGATCAGCAGCTTCTCGTATTTCGTCTAAACCAGATAATATTTTATCACGTGGCATCAATGGCAAAGCCATCAACTTTCTACATAAAACTCTCAATGTTTCATCAATCGTGTACTGCCGTTGCAGTCCCAGAAACTGAATGTGCCTAAAGATCGCTTGAGAAAAATGGAAATAACAGCCAAGATGTTGAGCTGTTGGAAACTAAAAAGAAACCAAATAGAAAAAGGTGTTTTTCCGATTAAGATATTAAATACTTCATCCTTTACTGCAGAAATTGAACCGGATTCGAAGTCGGTCATAATCACTGAGGGTGAAAAAACAGTTTTCTGTCTTAAAGCAGCAATTTTCAATTCAGAAAAAATTTGTTTGTAGGTTGCAGCTTTTTTATTCACCAAGAAACCAAACACACACGGCACACCTGAAAATAAATGATAGCAAGTTTTCAAAAGAAAAGTAAGAATCCTACTTACAGATATCAAAATGTACTATATGTATTATATATATTTGGCTGAATTGTGGCGGAGTTTTTTTAAGTGTACCATCCATGTAGATGGTTGATGCATTGAATAATAAATCAAGTTGCGCATCGCTTGCAAAAAGTAATAGACGTTCACGTCTTACACGAGCTTCATCGATTAACAAAAATCTTTTCTTTTCAATTGTTAATTTAAATTCATTGTGAATATCAAACAGGCATGATTCTGGTAATGTTGGTATCATTTTACGTCGATTTTTAGCAGTGCCCTGATCTAAAAAAAACAGATAAATAAATAAATAAATTAGTGCTTGTAAAATAACTTACACACTTCATGGACTGTTAGAAATATGGCTATTGCCACCGAATTCATAGCATTTTTCGTCATCTCTTCATCATAAATTTTCCCGATAGGTGTAAACTCATTCAGTACACGTTACTTTATTTGATCATGAGTTTTTTTGACTTGAAGAAATTCAGGATTTTCTGGGTACCCATGGTCAGTTTTACCACCAGACAAATACTTCTGATCTATATCAGTATGAACATATACGCCACAATCTTCAACCACACACACCCAATATTTTTTATTGGGCCTTTTTTTGTTACATTTGTATATGTATTGATTCATTATTAAAAGAGGTTGTCCTTTATTCGAAGTAATGAAATTTGAATCACTGTTGATGTTGCGTGTCGATTCCGTGGCGGCTTCCATATATATATTTATCACTTGAATAATGAATAAGGCCTTGTCCACACTACAAAAATAATACAGTTTTAACTTAGAATTAATACATGTGCGTCCACACTTATGAACTTAATGTATCAATCAGAACGTAGATATAACCACTATCATGTAACCCACGTGCATAATTCTATCGCGTTTCGACGAAATAAAACGTCGCTTCTGTCTCGGCACTATCATAATTTTCATTAGTCATTGAGAGTTTGCGTTGATTGGTGCACTAACTTTAATACACTTTTGAAAAGTGTATTAAGTCTGAATTAACTTTTCGGCCAATCGTGGTTCTTAATACAGTATTAACTTTTCTAGTGTAGACAAGGCCTAATTGAAGAATAATTTTCTTATTCTTTTCTATTGCATTGTACTAAGTGACCAATGTCTGATAGACCAATGATAGATTCAAACGAACATAAGTCGCCATCGATCCTACAATAATAACATATTCATCGAATATCTTTCATAACACTCCTTTTAGAATTTTTTATTTTATTTTTATAAATTTGTTTCGACATTTTTAACTGTCGACATTTTTACTTTCAACATTTTAGTGTCGACATTTTTACTGTCGACCAAAGTTGAGTTTACCGTGGATAAAGCCTGACGAAAGTGTCACGAATGTTCGTTTGTGTTATTTAACAGTTTCATTACTTATTTGATGTGTATGGCAATGGTTGTTGGTTTGTCTAGTTGTTCAGAGAGTTGGAGTTTCGCGATTAATGATGTAACAGTTCAGCTATAGTTCGAACCAAAGGAGCTGTTCGATCAGTTTAGCTCTTTCGAAAGATGCTGTTTGAACAGTCCCTTTGAAATGAGCTGAACTGTTGTAAATCAATTAGAAAACAGATCAACCTATCTCTTAATGAAGAAGACAAATTAATCTAGAGGGTGCGGGTGTGTTAAACACTCAACATATAAATTCAAAGCAGAATAAGACGCGTTTCGAACCTTCCTGAAGGGTTCAATCATCAGGTATCTTTAGAATCTTTAACTGTATGAGAAAATTAAAACTATATATTTAGTTAGAAATATTCCTTAGTATTTAACATTTATTCTTTAATTCAATCAAGGAGCCGTAGAAGACGACAGGCAAGCTGAATATATAGAGAAATAAAAGTTAAAAGGATTAAATCCTATATAGTTAAAATTTTGTACAACGTATTGGTTTATATAATCGGGTGTGTTAAACACTCAACATATAGAAGGATGTGGGTGTGGGTGTGTGAGAAATAACCACAATACAAATGATCCAAAGATCAGTATAAAACACTTAAAATATCCAAAGATTCAACTCAGAAGCAAAATTTTTTGGAAAAACTCAGAATTGGGTGTGTTTTGAAGCATTCTACGACACGTTTCGATCTTGCTTAAGGATCTCATCAGGTAGTTCTATCGGTTGGTCGTCATAATGTCGAAAGGAAAAATGTCGAAAGGAAAAATGTCGAAAAAATATTTTTGACATGAAACATTGTCAGTTAATATTTTAGCAAGTTGTAAATAATATGATGTATACTTTTTGTATGAAATTAAGCTGAAATGTTAAGGGTGAGAAAATGTTTTTTTAAATATGTCATTTTTCACGAACTTCACGAACCTCAAGTTTTCTTTTTCTGGAAGATGACTATGATTGCCAACAGTTTTCATCAATCCATTATTTAAATCAGTATGCACTTTAGCTGCACAACCATTAATAGTGCATATCCAATATTTAGTACTTGTTGTTGTTTTATTCAGTTTAAAAGTATAATCATCGGCAACTAGTAGAGGTTTTCCTTTATTTGAATTTATAAATGAAATTGAAGGAGATTTTGCTTGAATTTCACTAGTTAAAGTTACGAAAGCTTCAGCCATGACAGTACAATTTTAGTTATATAATAATTCTTTGTTCAACTCTTTCTTTTTACTTGTATTAATAGTTAGTCATCCCTATCAATACTGGCTAAAATTCTACACTAGTAAAATTATAAGAAAAAACAATGAACTAAATGGGATTAGAATCGCCATATACTGGAGACATCATTATTTTTT